CTCTCCCTCCCTCATTCCCCTTCCAATCTCTCCCTCTTGGCTCAGCAACATCTGCTGGAGGATACAAATAATCTGGGGCTGCTGGGCTGGGCCTGCAGGGGCCGGGAGGAGAGTGGGTGGCTGGTGGCATGGGGCCTGGCCGGGCACCTCCTGGGGGCACTCACCGCAGGGGCGCTCTGCCGGGGCTGCTCTGTAGCGTCAGTGACACCTGGCAACTGCATTCGCCAACCCGGTTCCTGAAGGATTTGAGAGATCAACACAGATCAAGAGGCTCTCAGAGCCAAGGGCCCGCTCAGCCCAGGGCTGAGAAGGGCAGGGCAGGCAGGAACTTGGACAGAGGCTGGCCAGCTTGCTCCAGGGAAGAGGGGGCCACGGGCTTAGCTGGGACCCCAAACACCCACACAAGACCTAGACCTAGGGCAGGCCCTGCCCCGCATTGGTCATCGTTTTCTTCCCCCCTCAGCTCTTGTATAAAAAGGGAAAAAAAAAAGTCTTCTGAAAAACAGCTTAGACAGACATCCAGAAGTAGGAATACTTTTTTATAAGTATATTACAAAAACAATACAATCGCTCAGTCTAAATACGATCACTCAAAACTAAAGTCTAAGCCTGCCAGGGTGTGATGGGGCTGCTCCGTCTAGCCCACGCAGTCCTGGGCTGTGACCCTGAGTCAGACTACACATTCCCGCAATATAGAGGTGGTTTCGTCCTCTCCGCACAGTGCACCGCCCCCCCCGCCCCGCAAGCTGCTATTTCCCCTTCTGCTGCTCGAGAAATGAAAACACTCTCCCATCCCTCCCCATGAGCTAAAAACCAACAGCTGTCTTCTTGCATGGGTGACCCTTTCTCTCCTTCCTTCAGGTGGGGAGAGCTCTGGATTCTTCAACCCACTGTTAAATCGTTAGTGTCCCTGTGGTGGGTGGCCAGTTGAAGCCCCCTCTGCTCTCTGCTCAGGGAGGGCTGCACCCTGCTTTCCTGCTGCCAGGACTTAGAGCCCATCGGCCCTCTGACCCTGCGTGGCTGCCATCTGCTGGCGGTTCTGAGCTCTGACCAGCCGAGGTAGTCCAGGCAGGGGGAAGGGGCCAGGGTGGGGGAAGGGGTGGGGGCAGGACCAAGAGCCAGAGGCGACTCTTCATGGTGATAACCTCCCTTTTTATACAGAGCCCACCACCTTTCATTCGTTTCCACTACCTTCTTGTGCCTACAACACCCCAGTGGGGTATGGAGCACTATCACGCCCCTTTTAAAGGTTAAGGAAGGAGGCTCAGGAGTTTCTCTGAGGCAGTCCCACTCATCCCCCCGCATGGTCATCTTCCTGGCACTTCGGGGCCCAGCACGTGCCTCAGCTCCTGCCACAGATGTGCCAAGCTCTGCAACAGGTTCCTTACGTAATCCATCTCACTTCATCTCATGACATCTCAGGGAAGCCAGCACTGGTTTTATAAGAAAAATAAGGCTTCTAAAAGTTAAATAATTGGCCTTAACTCACAGAGCCAACCAACAGAAAAAGGGGTTGACACCCAGGTCTCCCTGAATCGGGGACCTGTAACCTTCCCCCTTTGCCCCGCAGGGCTCATCAGTACAAATCTACCGTGGGATATGCGTGCGTGTGTGCATGCCTCTGTGTGGATGTGGGTATCAGCCGCAGGCATGGATACGCACAGATATGGGACCTTACCTGCTGGCCAACTGCACCTGCAGGTCCGTGTCTGGGATCATGTACACAGGCACGGTTATCCCCACATGGACAGACCCCAGAGCACGTGCTCACGCAGCCCTGCTGATGTATATGGCTCTCCACCTTGCTTTGCTTGGCCTCCCTCCCAGTGGAGGGCCAGGTCCAGATCGGACGCTGGCAGTCCCCGGCGTGGCAGATGATTTGCAGGGGAACTGGGGGGGGGGGCGGGGGGATGCCGCTCACTCCCAGGCACAGAGACCCATCTGAAGCAAGGAGAGGTTGATTTGTGCTGTCCTCCAACTCTCCTCTCATCCACTGGGGTCCCCTCTTGGCTACCTTTGTCAATGCTCAGGCTCTCAGGGGGCACCGACTCAAGGTTCAGAGAGCCTCAGGTCTGGACAGTTGGAAGGCCTGAGGCTGTTCCTTTGCTCAACAAACAGCAATCAGGTGCCTCCTCAGTGCCAGGCCCTGGGGAGGCTAAGAGGCCCTCAGGACATCCTGAGCATTGGGCACAGAAGGCTCATGGGGCTTTGGGTCAACTTGTAGAATAAACACGGGAGGTCATTTGCAGGTGAGGCCCAGCTCCCTGGCACCCCACTTCTGCTAGGCTGCTGGCCAGTATTAGGCCATTCATTCCCCGCTTTTCTTTCAAGCACAGGGTGTGGGGCCCAGGGTTGGTGAGGAGCAGGAGGCCAGGAGGCCAAGGGCCACATTTTCCCACTAGTGCTTTCCAACGTTGCCCCAGCTGAGTTTCCTCCTGCCACAGGTATAATGCAGCCCGGATGCAGAAATCAGGAGCAGACGCTGACCAGATGGGTGTGCTTTACCCCAGCCGAACCCTTCAGAGGCTTTAAATGGTGGGCCCCCCCCCCCCCGTCCCCTGAGCTGGAGTAAGCTCTGTCTCCCCATGGGGAAGCAGGCAAGGGCTTCTGTTGCTTCGACTGCCTGCCCTTAAGGAGGGAGCACAGGGAGCTTGCTGCTTGATCCATCCCCAGGCCTCAGCCTGAGGCACCTGGGGAAGCCTGAGGGGCAGACAGAGGTGGAGAACTTGGGATACCATGGCTGGCCCACTAAGTGGATCAGCCCTTGGGGTGATCTGGGGGTCACCATTTCTGCAGCCATAAACTTAAATCTCTGTTGGGCCTTTAACGTAAATCACGGGTTCGTTCAGAGCCTACACAAAGTCAGAAAGGCCTGTGACCTGGGACCCACACACCAGATAATCTATCCAGCCAAACAGCTTCTTGTATCTTTGGTGTCTGTATCTACATATTCAGTTACAAAGTCAGGCCACGCTCAGCCCGGGCACTGCTGAAGAGGATATGGGGCTAAGACCCCACAGGCTGCACCTTTTACAAAGTAACAAAACCCTTTCTGCTCCCACCTCCCAAACCCTGAATAAGAAGCCCACTCTTTGGTTACAAAGCCTTTGGACCCTGTCCCACTCTGAGTCACCCTCCCCTGGAATGGGTTTTATATGTAAAATTAGTTAAAAGAATTGATTTCCTGGCAAGTCTCAATCTTTCAAATATTTCAGCTGGAATTCGGAACTGACTTTTTGACATTTCCTCTTTTAGTTCAGGAGACAAGCGTTAGGGCCGGGGAGGCAGAACCCGTCCGGCCACAGCTGTAGCAGGGACAGATAGGACCTGTCACACCAACCCCCACCCCCCTGCCCTTTCCTCCCAGCTATCTGGTCTCCCTCCTTGAGGCATTCTGTCCTGGATCTAGGGCTGATTTCTGTCAGGATGAGAAAAGCTGGAGGGGAATGGGGCCCCTGGTAGACCTGGCACATACTCCCCAGGAGAACTTTCCACTGACTTGCTCCTCAGCTGGGAACAAAGCCAAGGCCAGAGCAACAGCTACCCAAAGGAATGAAGAGGCTGGACTTTGGGGAGGGGAAAGGGGCAAGGGCTGCGTGGACGGGGACTCTGGTGGAACCTCCTGGATTCCCCAAGTTCCCATGCACTTGGGAGAAGCAAGGAATGGGAGAGAATCTGATTAAAAGACCGAGATGAGGGTTCCAATCTGGGCTCTGCTACTTGCTTTTGTGTGGCCACGAGCAAATCCATGACCCTGAGACCTCAGTTTCCCCCATTATTAAACGATGAGTCGTCTAGATAACTTCTGAAGTCCCTTCCAGCTGGGACAGTGTAAGTTTTATGACTGTCCCCAGCTGGGCCCAGACAGTCTGCCTGCCGACCTCCCAGTGCAACCCTCCACTCTGGCCTGGCAGGCTTCCCACAGCCCTTGCTTTGCTCTTCCCTACCCTTTCTTGCTCAGCTCTTCAACGTGCCCTCGACAGCCAAGCCTTCACTCATTTGCTAAACCTCAGCCTCTGGTCCTCAAAATCCCACAAGGAGCTTCTCCCTTCTAGGATATTTGGCTTGATTAATGTGAAAGTATTGTCCTGCAGCATGACTCCTTCCATGCAGACAAGCTCGTGTCTCATGTGTCGTCAGTTTCTATTATTTGTACTGGCCTAGGGAGGGAGAGTGTATCTCTTCTCTATTCTGGAGGCAGACTTGCCTTCCCGATAATAACTGGTTTGGGTGTAAGGCAAAGGCTGTTGGTGTGTTCTATGCATACTGCTGACGGCAGCAGGATGACCAGCCAGCCCACAAGCCATCCCCGCAGCTGACTGCAGACATGGCAATAGCTCAGCTGAGATTTGCTAAGCCTTACCCAGCTAGGCAGAACTTCCCAGCAAATTAAAGAAATGATAAATGACTATATTTTATAAAGCCACTAAGTATTCAAGTAGTTTGTTATGCAGCAAAAGCGAACTGATACAAGCATAAAGCACATGCCCAGAAAGGACCCAAGTGGTGGGCCACACACTGGGTTTTGTTATTATTATAGGAACAGTGCTCAGTCATGGCAGTAGCTTTGGCATGTAGCTCGGAGCCTTGAACATGATGTGCTCAGCACAGGGAAATGATTTATCCAGGAGAGCAAGTCCTTTGCAAAGTGGCCGGGCACCCGAGCCAGGGCAGCTCCAAACATCTTTGTTATGTGGCATGACGTCCTGTTTGCAGGGTCAAGGTCAGAAGAGCGCTCTTCTTCAGTGCTTACATCAACCCTAGGGGCTGGCGCTCTGTCTCCATCAACCCAGGGCTGGCATGGATTTTAAGCGTGAGAGCATTTTCAAGGTAGAAGAACATTTCTGGATCACTTTCATTTAACAAGCACTGAATGCTGACTCTGGGCAGGCACTGTTCTAGGCACTGGGAACAAAGCAGTGTGCCTTTGTGGAGCTTACCTTCCCATGTAATCTAGAAAAACCTTAAACAGGAGGGAAAAAAAGGAATGGGCATAGTTAACCTCCCTGTAGTGGTTTTAAATGTCTACAAATTCTTTGACGCTCCTCTCTCCAAGAGATGGAACCTAATCAGGCTTAATGACTTACTTCTAGCAAATAGAATACAGCGGAAGTAACAGTGTGTGACCTCCAAGGGTAGATCACAAAAGACATTGCAGGTTGCAACTTATGCCCTCCCCTGATCCCTAGCTCTGTGGAAGCCATGTCATGTAGTCACTCAAGCAGCTCTAGGGAGAGGTCCACACGGCAAGGAGCTGAGGCCTCAAGCCAACAGTCCTATGAGCGAGCCATCTTAGAAGTGGATCCTCCAGCCTCAGTCAAGCGTTCAGAGACGACAGTCCCTGCCAACATCTTCACTGTAAAAATCATTCAGCAAAGCTGCGTCAACTTCCCAATCCACTGAAACTGTGAGAAGGTAACTTGTTTTAAGCTGCTCGGTTTCGGGGTAATTTGTTACACAGCCAGACATAACTAATACATTCCCTCTATCCTGTTGCTTTTCCAATTTTAATCCATTCTTCCCTCCTTCATATTCTCCACACACCAAATAACAGGGGAACAAAAGCCAAGATGTAATAAGACAGGGGTCTCTGGGGAACTGAGCTTAGGAGCTCAGTGAACACCTTTGCATTGAAGTGGAGAAACGAAAGCTTGTTGGCAGCACCGAGCTTGCCCTTTCCTTACCTTGAGCCCAGTCGCACCTTATTTTGGGTTTCTGCTGCTTCCTAGTCCTGGGTGGGAACTTTGACAGGAGGTTTGGTGGGGGGGTAGTGGGTTAAAGGCAGTTGGCAGGACATGTGGACTCACTTGAGCAGGATCTCATACTGGCCGGCATGCCAAGGCTGCACGTCCTTTAGAACCAGCGTGAACACGTCCTCATTCTGTAGCACCTCGAAGTGGCCAGCGTCTTTGGAGAGGGCTTTGCCATCACGCAGCCAGTGCACAGTGGGGAAGGGGTCCCCAGCGATGGCACAGGACATGAGGACACTCTGGCCCAGGGAGGTTGTCACTGAGCGGGGCTTGCTGATGAACCAGGGCTGGGTGCCATCCTGAGGCTCTGGAAGTTGGCAAAGGGTTGAATTAGAGAGGAAGGCCTTTCTTCAGCAGACAGGGTCCACTCAGCTCTGCCTGGTGGTAAACGTCAAAGACTGCATGCTACCCAAATAACAGCTGGTCCAGAAATCACTCTTATTGGATATACAGTTACAGCACACTCTTCTCATGGCCAGTCTGTCTTGGTTATGTCCCCTGAGGATAATACAGACACAATAATATTGTATCTCCAAAGCAAGGGGAGGTAATCTAGCGCACTGGGCTAGGTGCTAATGATCTACATGAGATGTGTATGATTTTGAGTTGTCACTTGCTTTATGTGTCCTTCCCTGCTCTCTCTTCTTAAATATAGGTTCTCTAAGGGCAAGGACCCTAACGGGCCACAGCTTGCCTCAAAAACTATCACTGCACTAATGTAACATTGTGTGTTAACGACATTTCAGTAAAAGGGAAATAAAGCTATCGCTCCCTAATTGTTAAGTGTATCATAAGATTTCTCTCCTAGCACTCTGTGCAACTTGTCACCAATGACCCAGAGAGGGCAAGGACTTCAGAAGGCTCCAGGGAACAGTGTTGCCACTCAGCCAGAGTCTGGCCTTGGAGGCTGGAATGGGACCAGGGGAACACAGGGGCCACGAGAGAAACCAAGTAAGCTCAACTGGTTTCCTCACCTCCAAACGGCTTTTGGAGGGCCCACCAGGGCAGCACGGATTTCCAACCCCCCCGCGCCCCACCGCCTGCCCGTACCCTGGTCAGCCCTGCAGCCTCACCTTGTACCATGAGCACCGCATGGGTGCGGACTTCTCCGGCGCTGTTCCAGGCTTCACAGGTGTATGTGCCCGTGTCCTCCGGGAACACTTCCTGGATACAAAGGCTGTGCCGAGTGCCTCTCTGCTCAAAGTGGAAGTCCTCCGACTCCTGGATCTCATTCCCATCGTGAAGCCAGATGACCTCAGGGGGCGGGTTCCCTGAGGGGGGGAGATAGGGAAGGCAGACCCGGCAGGAGGTTGGTTCCCTGGGCCATGTGGCAACTTTGCACTTAATAGTGTGACACTGTACTAAATACTAACCTCTCTATGCCTCAGTTTCCCCATCCGCAAAACATTCTAACCATATCTTCCTCAGAGGTTTGTTGGGAGGATTGAATAAATTAATACAGTCTCCCGGAACAGCCCACTAGAATAGCAGATTAGAGGGGTGCCTGGGTGGCTCAGTTGGTTAAGCATCCGACTCTTGATTTTGGCTCAGGTCATGATCTCAGGGTTGTGGTATCGAGCCCCGCATCAGGCTCCACGCTAAGTGCGAGTCGGCTTGAAATTCCCTCTCCCCTCTCCTTCTGCTCCCCGCCAAAACAAATAAATAAATAAAATCTCTAGCAGATTAGAATAGCATCTGGCACGAGGAAAGTGCTCAATGCATATTCATGATAATTATTTAACAACAGATTTGCGGAAACCAGAAAGAATGGGAAGTGAAAAAAATCAGAATTCAAGCTGCTTGGGAACATGGTAACTGGCTCCCTGGGTGTGAAGCGAATGTGTGTCCCGCTCTGCCCTGCCCCGCATAGTGCGTGCATGTCCAGGCAATGCCATGGTGACCTCGCAGTCACTCCTCTGTCAGTTTTCACCAGGAGGAAAAGTCAGCATCTCATTTTTCTGCCATACAAATGTTGGGTCTGAGGGTAGACACGGGCACCAGCTCGCATGAGTTTCCAAACACAGCTCAGCGTGGATAGCATTTTCAGGTTTTACCAGTCTACTTTCCTTGGTAGATTCTAGCAGTTTGGTGGGGCAGAAAACAATGGCCACCTGTGAGAGGTCCCCCTGCGGTAGCATTGTGCTCTGCTTCCCGACGAGCAAGGCCCCAGGAATGGCTGATGAGGGAGGCTGTGTGGTGTCAGGCTCTCTCAAGGAGAGAGAGAGTGGGGTCTGCTTTTTTTTTTTTTTTTTTAATTTATTTATTTGACAGAGAGATAGCACAAGTAGGCAGAGCAGCAGGCAGAGGGAAAGGGAGAAGCAGGCTCTCTTCTGAGCAGGGAGCCCGACGCGGGGCTCGATCCCAGGACCCTGGGATCATGACCTGAGCCGAAGGCAGCCGCTTAACCGACTGAGCCACACAGGCGCCCCGTGGGGTCTGCTTCTGATGGGTTAGCCAGCATGGGTATGGAGGCTAGGAGCAGAACACCTCTGATTTCTATCAATTCAAGGAGTGTGGACAGGGGAGGCAGCCAGGCCGAGGCCTGGGACCGTCATGGGACTGCCTCAGGCCTGTAGGAGTTGGGGGTGTGTGGGGATCCCCGAAAGGGGGAGCCCACTGGTTCTCCCACAGCTCATCTTTATTACTTCTGCAGCTCAGGATGAACTAAAGCCCAGGAGAGTGGCCTCCAGGCTGTCAGGGGGACTGATCAGCGGTCAGCAACGAACAGGAAACTCTGGATATGCTTGGGCACAAGCCGGTTTAGTAAGTCTGTGCCAGCAGAGTCCCCAGGCTTCTCTTGTTGGCCTCTAGCGGGAACCGTGACAGTCCACTGGGCTGCTGGTCACATGCTCTTGTCACCCCGCCCTGGTTTTAGAAGAACCTCTGCTCTATCTGCTCTATCTTCTCACCTTAAACTTGAATAGAGCAACAAAGTATCTTCCAAGAGCTGGGAAGCTCACATCAGCTGGTTTTGCGCCAGTGTTCAAAATCTTCCAGCTACAGTAGCCCCATTTTGTGTCCCCACTAATCCCTACCCCGCTAGCTATGGTCATCTTCTTCCCTTGGACCACCGTGAATTAACCTTGAATCCAGAAAATCCTGCCCAGAGGAAGCAGAAAAGAGGGACCAGCAGGCTCCACTTCTTCGGGTCCACTGCCTGACGGTCCCCTGCTGACTTTCTGGTGGGGGGATGATCGGAGCAGGACGTGGGGGAGCAAAGCTCACACGGCAACCGCGCCCGTTTTCCCATCTACCCCAAGGAGAGAGATGCAGAGACAGACCTGACACCTGGACTGTCATGGTGACCTGGCTTCCATCCATGACTTTGAGGTCGGAGAGGCCCTGCAGGAAGAGGGGCGCGACCGGCTTGCTGGGAGCTGCGGGTAGAGGGTACCCGCTCTTCCTGTCGCTCTTCTTTTCTGTGCGGCAGACAACAGAATGGGGGGCGAAGACTCATATATTCATTCGACAAACACAGACTAGAGGACTGCTGGGCACCCAGCTTTGGTGAGGCTTGGGCTTCTGCCAGAGGCTGACTGCTAGCAGGTGGGGCATGTGGGGAGGGGCTGGGGATCACTAGCAACGAGGCAAGGCGAGCCTGTTTCTCTGCTTGGCATGCCAATGCTCTTGCCTGGGAGCTGCGAAAGGGCCAAGCCCAATTGGGGCTCTGCTTCCTCAGGAGAACTTCAACACCTGCCATCTTAGGAAATTTTTTTTTTTTTTTTAATTTCACTCACCTTTTTATAAGTGATATGCTCCCATGGCACCAAATTTAAAAAGTACCAAAGACTATGTGTAGTCTCCCTTCCATCCCTGACCTGTGGCCATCAGGCTCCTCTCCCCAGAGGCAACCAATATTCAGTTTCTTGTTCATCTTGCCAGAGATGGTCTATGTATATAACACACAAGCAAATAGCTATACTCTCCCGTTTTCTTCTCTTAAAGAAATGATAGCACACTCTATGCACTGACTGATGTCTTATATTTTCATTTAACAATATACCTCGATGCCTTTCGTAAAACAGAAGCGAAGAGCTTCCTTGTCGTTTTCTATGGCCGTGTGATGCTCTATCACCCTCCCATGAGATTTTAAGTACCTCAAGAAAGCCAAAGACACCACACTCACGAGAGTGACTCAAATGAAAAAGGCCAGTCTACGGCCATCCCACCCTGAGCATGCCCGATCTCATCAAATGAAAAAGGCCGGCCATCCCAAGCACTGACGTGTGGGCGAGCATGTGGAGCGCCGGGACCTCTCACACACTGCCGAGCCACACACGGCGCACACCCTTCTGAAAACAGCTTGGTACTTTCTTAAAAAGTTAAACATGCATTTGCCATACGATCCAGTCATTCTACCCCTGGGTATTTTACACAGGAGAAATGAAAGCACGCTTCCAGACAAAGACTTGTACACAAACATTCAGAGCAGCCTTATTCCTAACGGCCCCGAACTGGAAACAACCCAAATGGCCATCAACAAGTGAATGAATAAAGAGACTGTGCTGTATTTATGCAGTGGGATACGACTTAGTAATAAAAAGAAACAGACTAACAAGAAACACTACAACAGACAAATCTCACAAAAATGACACTGAATAAAAGAAGCCAAAGAAAAAGTATATACTGGATGATTCCATTTATATAAAATTCTAGAAAATGCAAAATCTAGGGATAGCAAGCAGATCTGTGGTTGCCTGGGGCTTATGGAGAAGGATTGTAAAGGGGCATCAGGACACATTTGGGGTTGATGATGATGCTCATTTCTTAAGATTGTGGTGAAGGTTTCATAGGTGAAGGTTTCGAATTAAACACCATGAATATGTGCAGTTTATCATACATCAATATTATCTTAGTAAAAACTGGGGAAAGAAAGTCTCGAAGGGAGGGAGGAAATATACCAGCTAGTCAAAGACAAAAGCTAGAACCACTCTCTGAGTTCAGGGCTGGCCCACTCACCCCGTTTCAGTTCTCCAGGGAGATGGGGTCACAGATAGGCTTTCTGTTATTCTTGGAATGCTCCCCAAGCTGGGCTTCGACTTGCCTCGTGCGAGCCAGAGGGGAAGGGGCAGCAGAGTGGCTGAGCCAGTGTCAGCTTCCCACACAGGACAGCCCTGGTGCAGGACCAGCTCGTGGCTGCCCAGTCTCTGATCTTGCCCTTTGCCCTGCGAGCCAGGTGGCTTGGACCTTCAATCATTCCGAGCTTTTTTGTTTTTGCGTTTTGGCAGGGGCAGGGGTAGGGAGGGAGAGGGCTAGGATATCTCTAACTTAAACTCTAAGTTTTGGGGGAAAGGGACTCTGGTATTTTGGGTTCTTATTAGCAAGGGACACATATACCAGATTTCCAGAAAGCCAGTAGCCATGGGCATACATCTCCATGGTGCTTTATATACCTGAGAAAAATAGAACTCTAAATTGGCACTGAGTTTCTAACTTTTGGCACTCAAAACAAAACTGGGCCCGCTGCAGAGCTCTCCAGGTGCGGCCCCTGGGAGTGAAGACGGGAGAGGCGGAGAAGGCTCAGGATGCTGCAGGGAAACCTCCCGCAAGGCAGGCGCATTGTGAAGGGCATGGAGCCAGGGTACCGTACAGTCCGAGACCAGGGGATATGCTCTCGTGTCCTGGCCGCCGCCTCCGCCCCAGCCCCCAGCATCGCTGCCTTTGTCAGAGGGGCAGCCAGGCAGACTTTCCCTTGACCCGAGGCCCGGGAGTGGGCTCGGGGAGGTCCAGAACCCAAATGCAGAGATCTCTTTGCTGTGTCTGGGCTGCAGTGGCCAGGAAAGCAGGCTGCCTCAGGAGAGTTGAGGAATTTCCAGTCCTGCACGGACTGAGGCTTGAGGACAAAATGTTTCTGCCTGTGTAGATTCCCCCCGTTCTGCTCCTCTGCTGCCTCAGCCAGTCCCCGGTTTCAGAGGTCCGTGTAGACGGGCATGCCTATGTGCTGTGGGGACATCAGACCCTCCTTGGAGCTGGCGACGGCCCCTCCTTGGCCCCTACCCTCTCCCAGGTCTGGCCTCGGGCAAGTCATGGCCTCTCTCTGAAGGCTCAGCGGCCTCACCTGTGTTGAGGGTAGTAACGGTATAATCCAGGAGTTTTAAAGAGAGAACATGTGAACATACTTTGTATGACTGCTCAACACCAACGAGACCTTCCGTGTGAGGCTGACATGGGCGCTGACTCACACCTACCCACTTGGGCTCCATTACTCGTGGGTTATCAGCTGCAAACGAACAGAGATGGGGCCCTCACCCAAGGACTGCAGACTTGTTTGTTTTTCCTTTTGTTTTTTTTACATGACACAAGGCAAATACTGTTAGAAATACAAATGTATTGCTTAAAACTCTCCTGGGATATATGTAAAATAATTTTTTTTTAAAGATTTTGTTTATTTATTTGAGAGAGAGAATGAGAGAGAGAGAGCATGAGAAGGGGGAGGGTCAGAGAGAGAGGCAGACTCCCTGCTGAGCAGGGAGCCCGACGCGGGACTCGATCCCGGGACTCCAGGATCATGACCTGAGCCGAAGGCAGTCGCTTAACCAACTGAGCCACCCAGGCGCCCATATGTAAAATAATTTGAGAACAACCTGGCTGCACCCCCTCCAGGAGACAGATGAATGGGATGACTGCTTTGTGGGCGCCTGGCCTGGGAGACATGGAGTCCCCTGGCACCGCCGTCCCAGCCCTGCCCTGTGTTCCCCAGGCCCCGGGCCTGGGAGGAGGGCAAAGGGAAGTGGTTGGGAGTAAGTGTGCAGAATGAACCTGGCCTCAGACCTACAGACTGGGGTCACATGGGATCAGCGTGACTGAGTCCAGGCTAGTGAACGGCTGAGTCATCCCTAGCATGCAACCACCCCAAATTCTTCACGGGGTGAGAAACCAACCAACCCCTCCCACAAACACACTCTGCACTGGGATTAAGGAGCCATGAGGATCTCAGTCTGGGGGCAAGTAGTTTTCTGGAAGCAGCCTGAGAAAAGCAGCCCTCACGAGAATCCTGAGGCCCCAGTCCCAATCCCACCACCCTAGTCTCCCGAGAGGGAGGCCAGGGCGTGCTCAGCTGAAGTGACCTGTGCGAGGTCACAGGGCCAGTCACAGGCAGACCTAGAGCTTGTACCCAGGCCTTCTGACGGCAAGGCCAAGATGTTCTGGAGGCCATCTCTTCCACGGGAAGCAGGCTTCTCTGGTGGCCAACTCTCCACAAGGACAGAGGTCTTATCTGCTGACCCACATCCTAGCCTCTAGCCAGGGAGAACAGCGAGCTCAGAGCAAGGCCAAGCCAGGTAAAAAGGGCAAGATGTGCGTACTGCACTTAATTTCAAAGTCAAACAAATTACTCTGTCTCATCTGTGGCCTATGTGCTATGGCATCCATTTATGCTGGATAAAACAAGACAGATGGAAGGTGGTGCTCTGAACTCACTCGGAGCTCCAGCTGTGTGATCTGAAGCAAGCCTCCCAACCCACAGTGTCATTGGTTCTTGATGCTCCAGTGTTGGTAAGTGCAACCTCTACATCATCAGTATAACGCATGATAACTGCTGCAGGGTTTTTAGATGATTAAAAGAGGCAACATATGTAAAGCAGCTAGAATAATATCTGGCACATAATAAGTATAAAAACACACGGTTGGTTTGTTTGTTTTTTCCCCTTTCCTAACCCAACTCACTTTTTTGGGTTGGGCCACCTAGATTCCAGCAGGAGCTCTCTGTCAGAGTTTGTGTCTGTGCCCAGGCTCACCAGTGCCCCTAGAGAGCTGCACCTCTGGGCCTGTGCTTTAGCTGTCATCTGGCACAGTCCTGGTCTGAAGCAGGGCGAGGGGGCCAGAGTCTGAGGCAAGAGGTCCCCAGAGCCGCCTTCATCTGGGGAGGGCAGGCACTGGCCAAGGCACACAGATGGCAAGGGAGGGGTCCACGGGGCCCAGAGACAGATGTGCCACCCTGCTCAAATGGGGCCAGACTAAATATACCCCAGGTTTCCCCACAGCTGTGCTTTCTGCCACTGTGCTGAGACCAAGCCCGGAGAGCGCCCGCTCTCTGAGATCCAGGAAGGGCCGAGCCGCCTGGATGTCCTGGCCCAGAATTAAAGATGGAACGTGAACCCGCCTGTGGTGCCAGTCCTTGGTCCCCTGGCCAGGGACTGTATAGTCACTCACGGACACACTCTGTCATTTAACTGAGTAGCTAGCTACTGGGTGCCCTGTTCCATGTGGAGAGAAAGGGAACGGATCAAGCCTGCCTCCGGGGGAAGACAAGACCTGAGATCAAGAATACTTAGGAACAGTTTGTCGACGACAAGTATGATGCCGTATCCATTAAAGCTAGTGACGGGACTGGAGAATGGGGAGGAGCAGGAGAGAGGATGGGGCAGGGAGGGGACGGATGGAGGGAAAAGGAAGGACCTCCCCGCCTACTGACCCTCTG